TCCGACGCTTGTGTGACCGGAGCCCAAAATTGCTGACACATTTCTTTTCACAAATATCGCATTGTAGTGTGCGAGGAGCTGTAGGCAAGGCGTGTCTCTGAGCGCGACGATCCTGTGAGACCTTCACCCACTTTTGGTGTGCAACCTCTGCACCATCCTTGATGGATTTGCGCCATTTGGTGCGATCGTTGGCTCGGGACTCCCAATTGGTAGTAGGTATGTCAGCTGTGATCAGGTGACTCGTTATTAAATATTTGTAATGCAGCTTTGGTCCACGTGTTCGCCACTGGCCAGAGGAAAGTTCTCCATAAAGTAGAGTCTTCGGAAGTTAGTCTATGTTCTGGCATACACACCATATGACCATCCCAGCACCGTTGCCTTTTAAGAAGCATATATTCTATATTGGTCATATCGGCGCAATTTAAGACCTCCTTGTTAGTGATTTGGTCTTTTCAAGATATATTATGAATCACTCTGAGTTTGCATTCTTTTGAAATAATTCATCCGACCCCTTTCGTAGGGCCATGTATGATACACTGTTAACATTTGTACGTTATTTACGCTTCACTGACGCTAAGTCCATGCGATTGTCCTGCACAATCATTAACAGTTCCATTGTTAATTGCGCACTTTTCATTAGATTACCCTACTAGGAGAGTATTTACATAAATACCCTATAATACACTCATAATATTTTATTATAATGTTACATTGTAAATGCTAGCTATAGGTGACTTATTTATTATAGTTAATGTAGCTATTTAAATGGGAAAGGTACTTAGGTACTATTCCATCACGTATGACGTATCTACTTATTTCACTTAGTAAGTTGTTTATGGAAGTACTTCATTGTGATATGATGAAGTCTGTCAGATATGTACTCTAGGTTTGAAGATAGTTTGCTGTTGTGCTTCTTGGTACGCTGAATGCTGTAGTTAATATTTTGCTTTATAGGGTTCGAAGTTTATTTTTAATTTTCTTTGGGAACTATTGTACCATTGGGCATGCATATTCCAGTAATAGTCTGACATATGTGTATATTTTAAGAATGTTTTTTTGCTGATGTACCTCTGTTTTTTCCTTACAGACTTCTAACATAATGTACACGTTTCCATGCTCTGTTTGTTGTATCATTTATATGTTTGTATCAATTTTATTTAGAATCATACGTTGTTCCTATATATTTTGCAGTCTGGAGGTGAGTTTCTTGTATATATAGTATTGGTGAATGTTTTGACATTTTGGTTGATTTTGTGAAGAGAAGTAGTTGTGTTTCTGGTATCTTTATTTTGATTCTGTATTTCCAGCAGTATTCACGTATTCTGTCAAGTTGAGGTTGTAAGTTAGTTGTCGGTTCTGACGGAGTTGGAGAGCTTTTCCAGATTTCCATATCATGTGAGAATTTTGAAGCGAAACCTTCATTCGGGGCGTTTAGGGGCATGTTAGTGCATACATGATGAAAAGTATTGGATTAACTACCCCTCCCTGAGGGACGCCTGCCTCAGAAGTAAAATACTCCGAGTAAGTTCCTTTCACATTATTTCCACATTTTCTATCTTCCAGAAACTTGGATAATCAGCACATGATTCCACGTGGTAGTTCCATTTCAGACATATGGAACCCGAGACCGTCATGCCATACAGTGTTGAATACTTTCTCAATATAGAGGAAGCAAGCGATTGTGCATTGTTTTTGTTAAATCTATCAATTACTGTTTCTGTTAATCTTACCAGCTGATCTACTGTTAGTCTAGATTTTCCGAAATCATTTTGAATTTCTGGTAATTATCTGTAATTTCCAAATATGTACTTATTCTATTACTTATTATGCGTTAAAAAATTTTCCTTCACAGCTGGTCAAGCTGATCGGTCGGTAACTATCTGGTTTATTCACTGGTTTCCCTCCCTATGTAATATTAGTGTATTTGCCTTCTTCCAAGAGGCCGAGACGTATCCTGTTTTGAATGATATATTAAATAATGCTGTTAAGTGACGAAACAATAACTGAGTGTCTTTTTTGAGTAGTATGGCTAGGATTTTATCTTCACCTGGTGGTTTGTTTTTCGTGTTTATAATAAATTGTAACTATGGTGATGTGTTGTGTAACTTCTCGTACGTTCTGATTTTGATATTTGACTGTTGATATGAGTTGGAAATTGTGGAGTGTATGTTTTATGTTTTTTGTTACATACTCGTTAACTAGGTTATAAAAATGTGTGTTCATGTCTGGGTCATTAGATTTTTGAAAGATGATGAAGGTGGTATTTAAACATTTCTGCTTTTCTCTTGTTTTGTGGGCTATACTTGAGCATGAGACCACTGTAGGTAATTTTGAAGTATTATTCTGTGTATTTGTATATCGTTTGAGGTGATTCCAGAATTGTTTGGGGTCAGTGATATCGTTCAGTTGATCACAGAAGTCATTCCAACTATCTTGTGAAACCTCATTTCGTAGAGTGTTTATCTGGGTTTTGATTATTGACTTTCTTGTAGCCATGTGTATCCTGCGTAAGTATCTTAGTTCTTTTATATGGTTAGTTATTTGTCTATGCGGTTTCCATCGCTGTCTAAAGTTGTTTTGTATGTGTTTTGGTATTGGTGTTTGCTGCTTGTATGAGTCACTCAGTTATTGTTTGGCAGTGTGCGTCTATCTGTGACGGTTCCCGTACTTCTGTGTAAGCACTTTCCAGTAATGACTGATCAAGAATATTTGCATATTTAGTCCAATTTGGTTTTTTTATAACCATGTTTTGGTAGTGTCACTTTACCAATTTTATGTGGGGTAAGATCGAAGACACGCCATATAGGTCACTATCTACTTCATATCCCACATTAAACTGTTGGCTAAGGTCTGCAGAACTCAGACATAGATCTAATATATCACAGGAGTTATTACTCGTTCAATAGGATACAATTCGCATCATCCATATGCTTACTACTTAGGTGTTCTATTATTATGTACTCGTTGTTACTTTGGTAAATATTCATCAACATAATAATGGTTGGAGACGGCTTGAATGGGTAATGAAGAAAATATTTGATATAAGTTTAACATAACAGCAAATGTAAACGTTTCGACAAGGTTTTGTCATCATCAGATAACC